CTATCCGTCTCCTCGTACGATTGGTGGCATCCAAATGGACCAATCACAGCGACTCAAAGTTCGCCTCTATTTGGGGGAGAAAAACGGAGAGAAACGATAACGTTCACACAAACGGGCAATAAATGTGCCCGGTGCCCAGCGGCAGCTGCCTCCAGCTGATCGCTACATTTCCAATGATGCGGGGGGTAAACGATACAAACCGCTGACGTCAGACAAGCCCGTCGCCAGGGCAACGCATTCTGGTGGGGCGGGCTGCGCCAATCAGAGTGGGCGGAATGTGGAACGGCAGCAAATGAGCGTGCAGCGGCGGGGAGTTTAAACCTGAAGCCGGCTGGTGTTGGGTTGCAGTCAGTGGCGAGTGCTCAGGCGGTTAGCATGGCTCTTCGGATGGTTAAGGTATCGTTTATTATTGACCTTTTTTTTTTAAATTAAAAAAAACAAAACCCTCGTTTCCTCCACCGTAATTACCCACTCTAAGGCAAGGTGCCCAAGATTTTCCAACAGGAGCAACCATGAGTTTAACGGAATTGGTTCGCTTGTGTTTTATTTTTAAACTGGGCATTTTAAAAAAAATTTTGGTAATGAAATTTGGAGTAAAACTAAATAGTCTTTTTTTTTTAATTCAAAAATTGTTTTATTTTCTCGCTAATGGAAGCGAATCCTGTAGCCATGCTTAACACTTATGGTAGTCTTTTAAGGTGCAAGTATTGTATGTGGCAACTTCACTTCCGACCTGCTTTTGTTAACCCGTATAACAGACCGAAGCTAAAACCAAAGACTGCTATAAGCGTTTGGTTATATTTTTGACTTCTGGGCCGAAATTGGTGTGCAATTGTTTTGGTTTAACCCCTCTCTTATGTAGAGGGTGAACGCGGCGATAACTTCTGGCTGGATTGCTGTTGGGCGTGCAGGGAAGAGCGGTGCAGCTCTGCAACGAAGTTCAGTGGTGTTTTCTGAGGCTTCCTAAAAAAAAGTCAACTTTCTGCGTCTGGCATAAGTGGCTGGACCCACAGGAGGGTCCACTTTCGTATATTGCCAAAATCTGTAGATAAGCGGTAGCCTTGTATTTCAATGCAGGAATGAAAAGTAACAGTATTTTTACTTCTAAGGCGGGGCTCCCAGATCACATGCTTTTGCAACGTTGCAAAGTCCTACGGGAAGGCGCCATTCAGAATCTGGTTCAAAAATATCAATGTCATAAACAAGTCAAATACACTGTCGTGAATTACTTTCTCACCCCAATCCTTTGGGGGTTTGGACCGCTTGTCGGAGGTTTCTGTGCAGGAAATACACTTTTTTTTTTTAATTCCATTTTAGTCATCTCGGACTCCATTCTTGCAACTTGCTTTTGACATTGAGTCCTCTCCTCCCTCCCACTGCACCAAATTCATGTTTTTTTTATGGGGGGAAAAATCCCGTCTGCAGAAGGTGGCTGGAGTGGTACTTGATGTTTATGTAAACACCACGGTCAGAACTCATTGTGTAATCAATTCCTCTAAACCATGGTTCTGAACAACTGTTTAATTCTTTAGTTGTCTGGCTTTAACTGGGATTAGTGTTGGAGCCAGACATGTGAATTTTCCTTAACAATTGCTAGCTTTGGTTAATGGCTTTTCCTTCCTCTTCCCACTTTGGCCAATGTAGGCCAAATTCTCGATGGCTATCCTGTCCTACAAATCTATAAAGCTGTCTAGTATTATGTGAGTTAGAATGGATGGGGAGAAAGCTGGCTAACTGCTGTACTGCAACAGACCAGAAAAGTGGAATGGAGCAAAGAGGCGAAATACCTCCTGTGCTATTGCAGTACTGCAGCAGTGCCCAGTTTAGTGTTGTTCTTGTTTGTTCAGTATTAACATCCTAATGAACTACTTTGACAGACTAATCATGTTGGCAAAGACAATGTTGAACCAAAAGTCCTTCCAGGAAAAGTTGGAACAAAGCTTGGCTTGAGACCCAGAACTGCTTTGGTGGACATAGGCAACAAGACATTAGGAACTAAACTCCCAGTGAAAAAGGTATGTTGTGCATTGCTAGATAACCTGTTTCCCTTACTGAACTTAAATTCCTGGCAGCTGTATTTGATTTTTGCCCCTATTGTGGCAAACATATTGACTAATTCGCAGAATGCTTCTCCAGTATAATGTGCAACCC